CTTTCATTTCCTCCTCATCCTTGTGCCATCAGGTTAAATGTCATCATATGATCATAGGGCTATCAATTCTGTAGTTTTACATTTTCATAAATCCAAGAACCTTTCATATCCGAGTGAAACAAGGTACCGTTAAAAATGGGGCAACCACAGAGTCAGCCTGGACGGCAGTGGGGGAGGTTTTACCACAGTAACTGCTGGTCTCAACCTTAGGTGACTGTCAGTAACAGAAGAGAGACCTAGCCCTCCTTATAATATTTAAAATGACCTTAGATCCTTGGACAATATACTCACTGGAGAAAGTCATCTACCAAAAACTCTCATAGAAATAGCCTCTAAAGCCAGGGGGTGGTGGCGCAAACACCTTTAATCCCAGCACTCTGGGAGGCAGAGGTGGGTGGATCTCGGTAAGTTGGAGACCAGCCTGGTCTACAGAGCAAGCTCCAGGACAGCAAGGGCTACACCAGAAACCCTGCCTTAAAAAACAAATATATATATATATATGTTTATATTATAGTAACAATAATAATAAATAGTCTCTAAAGTAGTTTCAAAGGGCCCTAGATATTGTCATCCTAGCAGTCAAAATAAGGCTCCTCATCAGGGTGGGCGGGGCTTTGCCTTCCCATTGCTTCCTCCTAATCACTGAGGTTCTGCCTGGCATGGGACAGTGACTCAATCGACCAATAAAACTGAATACATTTATCAAATACCACTCCTGCTTCCTAAGTGGAGGTACTTGACATTAGTTTCAAAGGCTTTCCAGCATAAGCTCTCAGAACTAAACAGTATCTCAACTAGGCAGCTGTTAAAAAGCCAACTACGCACAATGCCTGAACTCAATTTTATGGTTAGAAAATAAATACATAGGCAAAAGCATTACAAAGAAAGCTGTAGGTGCTGGGTCAATGAAGTCAAATGCTCCCGGGACTGCAGAAAACAGGGTAGGGATCACAGGACTGCAAACAGGGCGGGAACCAGCACCAAAAGTGTCATACAACCCAAAGGATGTCACGGTGCTGATGGGGGATGTCCGTGTGTGTGTGTGTGTGTGTGTGTGTGTGTGTGTGTGTGTGTGTGTTTCTTTTATTGGTTGATGAATAAAACACTGATTGGTCAATAACCAGGGAGGAAGATAGGCGGGGCTATGAGACCAGGAGAAGGCTGAGGAGAGGAAGACAGAGAGAGAAGCCTCGAGGAAGAGATGACAGGTAGAGACTGGGAAGATAGGACACACCAGGCATTCTCTGGTAAGATAAAGCCATGTAAACATACATTAATAGTTATGGGTTAATAATTAAGAGAGAGCTAGCCAGTAAGAATCCCTAACCATCAGCCAACAGTTTATAAATTAAGTCTTTGTGTGTTTATTTGGGGCTAACCGTCCTGCAGATGAGCAACACAGTGCAGCTCTCCATAGGAACCACCAGGAGCAGACATGGGGAATGAGATGTCTTAGACACAGCAGCTATTTTTTTGTTGGGAACTTAGCCAAGGCTTGGGCCACTGACATGGCACCGGGACAGAACCAAGGACAGGTGTCAGTGGTGACGACTGTCAGACATGGGTGGTGATGATGGTGCTGAGGCCTGCCAGCGTGACCTGAAAGGACAGCTAGCCCTAGAACTGGCAGGAGAGAGCTTGGGGGTGTCCCTTGAGTCTTTGGCCCTTAGCCCAGTCTTGGGCCTGCAAGCTTTTGGAGCTACGTCCATGCTGGCCTTCACGGAAGTCACTTTTGTGAGGACTTGTTAGGGGAGGAGCCAAAGTGGTGAGACTTCAGCCATGTGTCACCAAGCCCAGGGCTTGGAGATTTTCAGATGAAGACCACCAGCTGGCAACAAACACGCCTCAAAACCATTTGGACTTTTCCATAAGATAACTTTACCTGGATAAGAACCAGCACAAACATGAGCCAGTTATAATGTTTCCACCATCTTATGAAGTTCTCATAATGTTCACGCTGAAACTCTCCCATAGGGAGCCTGGGCCAGAGGCCTGTAGCCCACCCCAATCCACAAGGCTCCTGAGCAGCCAATGCCACCCCAGGCCTTGTCAGCCACATTCCCCCATTCCTTAAGGAGTCCGCACACCCATTGCTCTTGCTGCTTACATAATCCCCACATCATTTATCATCTTGCTGTCCCTGAACAGCAAATCTCTTTAGGAGCAGGTCCCATGCATGCCTCAGACTTGCTGGGACTTGTGGGTCCCCTGAACTCGGAACTCAGCAAGTTTCCTTCCCAAGGACACTTTTCCCCAGGAGGTTCACAGGGAGCTACATGTAGGAGTTACTCATCACTCAAGTCAAGGAGTCAGGACTCGTGTCTGAGCAAGAATGTGCATGTGACTTCTCCCTGGATACATGATGAATGGCTGAAGCCTGCACTGACCGCTTCCCACCAGGCCCGGTTCAGGGTCCTCCCTCTGGCCTTCTCAGCACCTGGTCCCTCCCAGTTACTCTCTCATCGTCCACTTTCTTCTTCCTCGCTGCTGTGAACTCGGCACATTTCCCAGCACCTTACAGGAGTTCAGTCACTAACAGACGAAACAAAACCACTGTGAACACAGCAAACACTCACATTCTTCTCTTGGGACACGTCGTCCTCTTTGTGTGACTTGTTTTCCCCACTTCCTTCGGCCTGCTCTGTTCCCTGTTTGGAAAAGAAACTCCAAAGAATCACTGGCCTTCGGTAAGCTCTCAAGGAAACAGCAGGCCACGCTTGCTGTGGCCTTCCCGTTTCAGTTCTGGCACCTAAGTGAAGCTAGAAGGCACCTCCTGTATATGAGGTCACTTAGATGCTGACACAAACTCCCAAAGTCCCCAAGCTTCTAACAGACTGCCTGTAGGCTGCAGCCATAAACTACTGGGTGAAATACTACGATGAATAACCGATGCGTAGCCAGTAAGGTCAGGGTATCTTTTTTAATAGGTAAATGCCAACCAACGGGAAGACAGAGCGTGCCAAAGCAGCAAGGAAAGAGAGCTACCATCTGTCTTGTCTATCCCTTTAAACCTCTCACACATCACCCTGATGGGCGTGGTCGGGCACACCTGTAGCCAGGCCTTAGGAGGTGTGGTTATGTTGTCTCCCTACAGTGAAGGGTGTTGAGTCACCCATTTAAGGTTGATGAAGGTAACAGATGCATAGATGGATGGATTTAAGTGAATAAGGTAATATGGATGGATGGATGGATGGATGGACGGACAGACGGACAATAGATAAAAGGCATAATAGATAATGATGATGATAGGTATGTGGATAGATACAATACAGATAATAGGTAGGTGGAAGATAGATGATAAAGAGAAATGGCGATTGATAGATGATATGTAGATAAGAGAATAAATGATAGACACACACAGAGAGAGAGAGAGAGAGAGAGAGAGAGAGAGAGAGAGAGACATAGGTAGACAAAAGAAGAAATGCTAGGCCTGTGCACCCACCCTGAGGACTCTGGCAGCACCAGCCAGCCCTTACCTCTGCAGCGCCTTCTGCCTCTCCGGCCACATCTCCATTGGGAAGGGAAGAAGCTTCCTCAGACTTTGTCACCTATACCAAAGAGTTAAAAACACTTGAAAATTGTCTTGGGACCATGACTCACAATTCATTGTCTTTTAACTAATTGAATTATTCTTATCTTTGGGCTTCATTTTATTCACAACGTGCAACAGTGGGTCCCACTTAGGGATGACGTCATCACCACCAGCACTGCAGTAGCAAGAACATGAAAGCTGCGGCTGGGGAGAAGGCTCAGGGGTTGGGAACACTGGCTGCCCTCTCGGAGGACATGGGTTCAGTTTCAGGGTGGCCCACAGCCATCCATCACTCCAATTGCAGGGGTCATTCAATGCCCTGTTCTGGACTCTGCAGGCACCAGGCATGTACTTTATGTGCAGACATACATGCAGGCCAAACTGTGGTGCCTGCACCACGACTAAGTCTGAGTATCAGGCGAAAGCCTGGAGATTTAGTTAAAAGCAGCGATGTCCAGTCATTTGCGCTAAGAGAATGTGTGTGTGTGTCTCTCTATTGCAGGGAGGGAGCAGCCTTATATACAGACTTACAGCACAGTGGGAAAACCCCACTGGCTGTAATGTCAGACTAGAAAATAGGATGCATCTGTGGTTATCAACCCACGGGGATCCCGTGGGGGCTGGGGCCCAACATCTCTCCCAACACAAAACACCCATACACTTAAAATAAAATTAAAATTAAGATAATTTTAAGAGCCTAAAAACAGAAAGCATCATAACACAAGCTCGGGCAGAGCCACATCAAAGGCCCCATGTGATGGTCTCATGAAATGGTCCCCCACTTTCTAAAACATCAGGTTATCTTCATGAGACACACTCTCCAAACACGCCCTCCATTGCCATCCTCCTATAACAATTAATCTTTAATATTTGCTACGTACCTAACGCCATTCTGATACATATTAGCTATTGGAGGGATTTGTTATTTTCCTGTTTTGTGGGCTTTGAAACAAAAACAAAGACAGGCTATGTCTCGTGATTTTTTAGCTTGAAATACATCGTGAATATTTATCCAGGTGAAGTAAAACCCTTCTCATTCATCCTTTGTAGCATCTGCTTAATATTAAGTGCATGATAATTTGTTCATATATATCCTCATTGATGGATCATCAACATGTCCCCGTGTTTGTGACTCTATGGCTAACAGATAATTTGGAAAATTAAGTGGTGGGGATATTTTTATCAGGGTTTCTTTTTGAAAGGTGCCACATCCTCTGTAATGCATGAACACCCTACCTTTCTTTAGCCTTGTGACCAGGTAACACAGTTGTGCTTTTTAATGGCTGTGAGTGTGTTCATGGAAGTGGAACCATTTCTGTCTTTATTTCCATCTCTCTGGTTACTAGAAAGGAAGGGCATACATACTTTCAATCACTTGCTTTGTCTTTTCAGTTAATTTCGTTTGTGTCGTGACCATTTTCCTTGAGTTATTTCTGAAGATTTTGGGTGGATTTTTGAGAGGGGTCTCACGATGTAACCCAGCTTCACCAATTCCTGTGTCATCCTTGTGCAGTGCCATGCTAAGGAACTCTGCATCCTTCCAGTTGTAGTGTATGTGCTGCCGAAGCAAGCACAATTTTAGCTTTTGGAGAGACAGATTTATCTTAATTTTTCTATAGAATATATTACTAGTTCTGTACCTTCATAGTTATTAAAATCTAGCCTTTTAATCCATCTATAATTTAATTTTATATGTGACATAAAATAACCAGTTGGGGCTGTGGTTACAGCTCATAAAAGAATATTTGCCTAGTATGAATGAGCCCTAGGTTCAATCCTGAATACAACTTTTTAATTTTTTTTAAATTTAAAGTCAATGTCCATGTGGTGGTCTGTATAAGAAATGTGCCCCCATAAACCCCCTGTGTGCGAAGGTTAGGGAACCTTTAGGGTGTGGAGCCTTGGTGAAGGAAGTAGTCACTGGGATGGCCATTGGGGGTTTATAGTGTTTCCCACTTTCTATTTGTCCTAGTCAGGGTTTCTATTGCTGTGACGAAGCACCAGAACCAAGTCCATCCTGGGAGGAAGTCAAGGTAAGGAGTGCAGTGGTCAAGTTTCTTAAATATTATGAAATTTATGAGAACAAGATGAAAGCATAACTGAAAAATTGTCTGGTTAAAACCTTTGTATTAGGGCTAAAGAGATGGCTCAGAGGTTAAGAGCACTGGCTGCTCTTCCAGAGGTCCTGAGTTCAATTCCCAGCAACCACATGGTGGCACACAACCATGCGTTATGAGACCTAGTGCCCTCTTCTGGTGTGCAAGCATACGTGGAGGCAGAATGTGGTATACATAATAAATAAATAAATAAATAAATAAATAAATAAATCTTTAAAAAAAAACCTTTGTATTATATCTCTGCATATAATTCCTGGATGAAGAATATATTAAAATTGTGTCAATGCTGAAGCAACACACACACACACACACACACACACACTGAAATGGTATAGAGATAAGCAGAGTCCCATAGAAGGGTGATATATAAATTCACTGAGCCTCCTATAAATTCAGCATGTTGGCTTAGAGCACCACTGATGAGCACTAATGTTTGCCGGCTTCTGTCATCCTTTATTACAGCCTGTACTGGACCACACAGGGTGTTCAAGCTTACCTTTGACCCTGGAGGGGGAGCCAAACCAAGGAATGAATAAATAATATTTTCTTCTTTTGCAGAGAAGAAAGAGTCAAAATCCTTGAAGCAAAGAAAGAGAATACTTAAAACCGTTATATACTTGGGAGCTGGTATATGTAGTGATCCCAGTACCCTTATCATGTCAGTCATCAAATGCAAAACATCCTGTTAACTGATAACTAAACTGTAATGCTATAAAATAGACAAGAACACACACACACACACACACACACACACACACACACACATATACACACGGGGGGAGGGGGGACTGGAGGGAAGACTGTTGGGAGGGGCAGGAGATGATTAGGGACAGGTACTCGGTGCCTGTAATGACAAGATGTAGAGAAGCCTTTTCCGTACCCACTCACTGGTTTTGCGGTCTGTCCTTCCCCATGTCCCTGAATACCAGGGACGCCCACATCTAGATTAATAAAGATGATCTTTGGTTGTGCCCAAGCCTAAGCTGCCTGGGTCCTCAGCTGCTTCCGGCAGGAATTCCCTCGGGGGGGGGGGGGTCTTTCCCTGGACTATGCCTGGCTCCCCACCTGCTGTTGCCTTTCTTTGATACTGTCTGCCATGACAGCTCAGGACGACTTCATCTGCTCTGCACAGCAGATGCGCAGGGCTCGAGGACACCTCCTGGTGCACAAACATCCACTACTTGCCCCTGCCCACAGGGCCCAGGACACGGCTGACCAAGAAAGAGTCCACATGAACCAGTGAGAACGCCTAAATGGCCACATTTTCATTCCAGTCCTGGAGGATATGGCGATTGTATCTTAGAGTTTCTACTGCTGTGATGAAACACCATGACCAGAAGCTACTTGGAGAGGAAAGGGTTTCTTCTGCTTACACTTTCAATCTCTTAGAGGGAAGTCAGGTCAGGGACTCAAACATGGCAGAAACCTGGAAGCAGGAGCTAATGCCATGGAGAAGTGCTGCTTACAGCTTTTTCTCCATGGCTTTGCTCAACCTGCTTTCTTGTAGAACCCAGGACCACCTGCCCAGGGGTGGTACCACCCACAGTGAGCTGGGCCCACTCGTAACAGTCATCAACCAAGAAAGTGCATCGCAGGTTTGCCCATGGACCAATCTGGTGGGGCATTTTCTTAATTGATGTCCTTTCTTCCCAAATGACTCTAGCCTGTGTCAAGCTGACATAAAACTAGCCAGCACAGACAGACGCTTTAGTTTATGCCATTTTATTTTTATTTCATGAGTGCTTTGCCTGCATGTCTGTCTGTACACTGTGTACAGGTCAGGTATCTGCAGGGGCCAGAAGAGTGTATCAGATCCCCTGGAACTGGAGTTACAGCTGGGTTGTAGCTACCAAGCAGGCGCTGGGAACTAAACCCAGGTGCTTTGTAAGAACAGCCAGTGCTTTTAACTGCAGAGCCATCTCTCTCGCCACCCTAATGTCTTTAAGGGTTTCACAAAGCCGAGTGAACAAATGGTTTCTTAAAATATAATAATAGAAAAAGTTATGTAGTCAGACTGCTGTCACCCTCTGGCCCTGGTCCTGGTTCCTATATTTAGAGACAGCAAGCACACACAGAACATTTCAAATAAGAAGTTACCAACACTGGTTGCCTCCAGATAGGAATGCCTGCATTATGTTTGAGGCCAGAACAAAGCAGATCCACCCGGCCCTTGGTTTAAACTTGGCTGAAAATTAACACATGGCAGCAGAGAATTAGACGGAGTACAGGGCCCTTCAGAGAGAAAGGTCCTGTGACCTCCCAAATGGGAGCCTGGAGCTAATTCAGCTCGGGGAACTATAGTTAACTATGAGCAGGAATTGGGATGGCAGTGATTCACGACAAAAACCCTTTGAAATAGTTTTATCTTTCAGCGTGTGCAAGTATGACTTTCTCTAATTTTTCTAATATTGAAAGGAAGGGTTGCTAGAGAGACGGCTCAGCGGTTGAGAGTGTTTGCTGCTCAAGTAGACTTGAATTCAGTCCCCGGCATCCAAATCAGCTCCCGGGGATCTGATGCCCTCTTTTGGCCTCCGTGGGTACTTCATACCTACACACGTGTGTGCACACAATCAGGTGCATGGGGGAGCGCACACATGCAAGCACCCACAGATAAATTTCAAAAATAAAATTAAATGAATCTTGTTATATTTTAAAGGACCTATTACAGAAAAAGCAAAAGCAAAATTCCTTGCCATAGCTCGCTCCTGTGTTAGCTTTCTCCTTGTCTAGTAAGATGCGTAGGAGGGGTGGGAGAAGGGTGGAGAATGGATTCTTGTGGCTTTTGTTATTTTGATTACATTTATTTACTGTGGGAGGTGAGCATGCCACTGTGCATGTATGGAGGTCCCAGATAACTTCTGGGAGTCCTCTTCCACCACGTGAGATGCAGAGATGGGGCTCGGGTCATCAGGCTTGGCAGGGGGTGCTTTGTTGAGGAATATTAATTTAAGATGTGTTACATTTGTTTATGCTGTGAAACATTTGCTTAAAGATGCAAAGATGTGTTGCATTCTTTTATGTTGCATTTGTTTAGCTCTGTAATGATGTGTTATTGTGCCCCTGTCTAAAACACCTGATTGATCTAATAAAGAGCTGAATGGCCAATAAAGAGGCAGGAGAAAGGACAGGCGGGGCTGGCAGGCAGAGGGAATAAAAAGATGGAGAAATCTGCAGGAGTGGGGGGTTGGGGGGCGTCAAAGAGGAGCAAGCAAACAAGGAGAAGAAGACACTAGGGGCCAGCCACACAGCCACACAGCCACTCAGCCACACAGCCACACAGCCACTCAGTCACACAGCCACTCAGCCACACAGCCACTCAGCCACACAGCCACTCAGCCACACAGCAAGCCACAGAGTAAGAGTGACAGATATATAGATGTAAGAAAAGGGAAAAGCCCAGAGGCAAAAGGCAGATGGGATAACTTAAGTTAAGGAAATCTGGCCAGAAATAAGCCAAGCTAAGGCCAGGCATTCATAAGAAAGAATAAGTCTCCATGTGTAATTATTTGGGAGCTGGGTGCTGGGCCCCCAAAAGAGCCTCTCAAAAAGCTAATCCTGCCTTGCAAATTCGTGCAACACATGCCAGGCTCAAGTGCCTCCCCCATAGGCCCTTGTCCACCTGGAACCCCAGAAAGTGACCTTATTTGGAAGTAAGATATTTGCGGCTATAGTGGTTGTGATAAGACCATGCCGAGTTAGAGTGGTCTTTTTCAGTGGCTGTTATCCTTACAGGAAGGTCCTGTGGAGGCACTGGTAAGCACAGGGTGTGGCCCAGAAGCCAGCCACATCTGGAATACTTCTACAAGCCAAGGACTGCTGGCAAACCTGAGCAACTGGGAGGAATGGAACAGGCTCTCCTTATGAATTTCCAGAAAGTTCCAAATCAGTATGGCAGTTCCTCAGAAAGATGAGAATTAGTCTACCACAAGATCCAGCAATTCCACTCTTAGGCATATATACCAAAAAGAAGCACATTCATACAAGGACATCTGTTCAATGATGTTCATGGCAGCATTATTTGTAATAGCCAGAACCTGGAAGCAACCTAGATGTCCCTCAACTGAAGAATGGAATAAGAAAATGTGGTACATTTACACAATGGAGTACCACTCAGCAGAAAAAAAAACAATGGAATCCTGAAATTCGCAGGCAAATGGATGGAACTAGAAGAAACCATCCTGAGTGAGGTAACCCAGTCACAAAAAGACAAACATGGTATGTACTCACTCATATATGGACATTAGACATAAAAAAAGGATTACCAGCCTACAATCCACACTTCCAGAGAAGCTAGGAAACAAGGAGGACTCTAAGAGAGACATACATGGTTCCCCGGAAAAGGGGAAAGGGACAAGATCTCCTGAGAAAATTGGGAGCATGGGGGGAGGGGGGAGGGAGCTAGGAGAATGAGAAGGGGAGAAGAGAAGGAAAGAGGAAGATATGAGGGAGCAGGAAGA